GGTGTTGGGAAAACTGGACAGCAGCATCTAAAACAATGAAGCTAGAATACTCCTTTACACCATAAACAAAAATCAACCCAAAATGGATCAAAGACTTAAACATAAGACAGGATACAATAAACCTCCTAGAGGAAAACATGGGCAAAACATTATCTGACATACATTTCAAAAATTTTCTCCTAGAAGAAATAAAAGCAAGAATAAACAAATGGGACCTAATGAAACTTACAAGCTTCTGCACAGCAAAGGAAACCAGAAGTAAAACAAGAAGAAAACCTACAGATTGGGAGAAAATTTTTGGAAATGAAACCGACAAAGGCTTGATCTCCAGAATATATAAGCAGCTCATATGACTTAATAAGAAAAAAATAAACAACCCAATCCAAAAATGGGCAGAAGACCTAAACAAGCAATTCTCCAAGGAAGACATATAAATGATTGAAAGGCACATGAAAAAATGCTCAGTATCACTAATTATCAGAGAAATGCAAATCGAAACTACAATGAGGTATCACCTCACACCAGTCAGAATGGCCGTCATTCAAAAATCCTAAAATGACAAATGTTAGAGAGGCTGTGGAGAAAGGGGAACCCTCCTACACTGCTGGTGGGAATGCAGTTTGGTGCAGCCACTATGGAAAACAGTGTGGAGATTCCTCAAAAGACTAGGGATAGACTTACCATATGACCCAGGAATCCCACTCCTGGGCTTGTATCCAGAAGGAAATCTACTTCAGGATGACACCTGCTCCCCAGTGTTCATAGCAGCACTATTTACAATAGCCAAAACATGGAAACAGCCTAAATGTCCATCAACAGGTGACTGGATAAAGAAGATGTGGTATATTTATGCAATGGAATAGTACTCAGCCATAAAAACTGACAACATAATGCCATTTGCAGCAACATGGATGCTCCTGGAGAATGTCATTCTAAGTGAAGTAAGCCAGAAAGAGAAAGAAAAATACCACATGAGATCGCTCATATGTGGAATCTAAAAAACAAAAACGAAAACAAACAAAAAACAAAAACAAAGTGTAAATACAGGACAGAAATAGACTCATAGACAGAGAATACAGACTTGTGGTTACCAGGGGGGTGGAGGATGGGAAGGGATAGACTGGGATTTCAAAATTGTAAAATAGATAAACAAGAGGGTACACTGCATAGCACATGGAAATATACACAAAATGTTATGATAACTCACAGAGAAAAAGATCTGACAATGAGTGTGTATACATCCATGAATGACTGAAAAATTGTGCTGAACACTGGAATTTGATACAACATTGTAAAGTGATTATAAATCAATAAAAATGTTAAAAAAAAGAAATATTCTTAATCATAAAAGAAATCATTCTATTTACTTTGTGCTATTCTTAGGATAGAAATACTTGAAATTTCATCATCAAAAGAGATTTCAGTACAGATCTTTAATCAGTGCATGCTAAGCAACACCTATAAAGAATTTTAGGAATAGAAATTAAGTAACAGACTACAGTTAGAACAGATAAGAATTGTCGCTTGTGAAATGAATCCATTTTTGCTCTTCACATCAATTTCACATACTTGCAGACTTGTCTGTGAATGCTGTTTTCATTTTTGTATGCAGCATTTATACATTTGCTTCAACCACTCAAATGGACTGGGTTTTTTTGTTGTTAAATACACCAGGTAATTTCATGTAAACAAATCCACTAATCACTTTTCAGTCCCCATCTTATTTGACTTCTATCAGCATTTGATAGAGGTAAAAGTCCTTTTTTGAGACATTCTCTTTGTTGAGGTCCACCAGTCAAATACCACTTGTAGTTGAACAAATTGGACTTTTGGATACCTGGTGCAGGAGGGAGACTATATTCCATAGGGAACTGTGAGGCATCTTAATTAGAGTATGCCAAGAAGCTCTTGTTATAGGTTTTGGGCTTGTATTATGTGATTTGGAGAAAGGTTCAAGGAACAGAATCTGTTCTAGACTGAGTGCTTTGAGGAAGCAACTAGATTCTATAGTTGTGCATCTTAATTTTTACTTTATAGGTAGAAAGAACAGGATGAGACTAAAGCTATAATTGTGAAGGAGCAGCTGTTACTCTTATTAGTTGGGAGTTGGCAAGTTTGGAAATACTTGTAGTTTTCATAGTGTTCTTGTGTTTGTCTGCAGTCAAAGAGTCCTCTTGTTTTCATTTCAAGGCATCATGTTTACATAGTGACCTCATCTCAAGCTGGTGTTGAAGTTGTTCATGTTCAACTGGAAAACACCATGGCCTAGCTCTGTGCCAGGCCAGCTTCCATCTGATGGCTATCAGCATTTCCTTTTTCTTTCTCAAGATCATGGTACCATATTCTGTTTGGTTTCTTTCTACTGCTTAACATGCTCCTTTTCAGTATTCCTCACACTATCTCCTATGTAATCTTTAACTCTTAGAGTTTCCCAGGCCTTATATCTGAATCATCTTTTATATTATCCTACACTTCTTATGCAGTTTCATTTATTTTTATGATTTTAATTACTATCTGCTTTCTTCAGACTGGAATTATTCTCTGCCTAAAAGATGAGTTGGAAAACTATAGCCCATAAGTCAAATACAACCCAAAGTCTGTTTTTGCCCAGATGTGAGGTGGTTTTTATATGTTTAAATGGTTAGAAAAAAATCTAAATGTGAATAATATTTCATGACATAAAATTATATAAAATTCAAGTTACAGTATGTCAACAAAAAAGAAGCAAAGTGTTGTTCACCACCTAGTTCTACAAAGGTTAAGTCATCAGCTACTCCATTTGCCCACCCACAGTGCAACCTGAGAGGAATTCAGGATGAAAAACAGGGTGAGGCACCTGTGCTTTTGAATAAACAGGTCCCTTAGATAGATGTATATTTCAGAAAGAGTTTTAATGACCCCACATTCTTGCATCTTCTCATACATAGAGAAGTGCTAATGTCATTAACCTGAGATATCTGTTCTTTGTGAATAGCAGTAATCTTTTACCAAGAATGTAGGATTGACTGTAAGTATTTCTCAGCCAAAAATCATATATAAATTGGCTTCTCTCCACCTCTTTAGAGCAGTTTCCTCAGAGCTACTAAGCAGCTGTCTCCTTATCTATTGTCCTTACTTAATAAGATCCCTGTATAAAACTTAAACTCATACCTCTCAGGTTGTACATTTTTCTTTAAGTCGACAAGTGTCCAAAGATAAAATTTTATTGGAATCCAGGCATGTCCATTTGTTTAGATATTTTCTATGGCTCCTTTTATTGCTACAAGCGCAGTGTTGAGCAGTTGCAATAGAGAGCCAGAATTATCTACTTGGTGTCCCTTTATAAAAAAAGTTTGCCAACACTTGCTCTAAAATCATGTATTTAACTAATCTGTGAGATTTTTCAATTGATTATTTTAGTCATCTTAAAATATTTAAAAGAGAAATTTTACTAATCTCCAATCTATACTTGTGCCTGTTCATCTTAATATTTGGGGTCCCTGCCACACAGAAATTCAAATCAGAAACCACAAATCATCCTTAATTCTTATTTTTCCTCTACCCCATATTTTAGTCCTACTGGAAATCCATTGTTTTCACTTCTGAACCATATCACAAATAGCTCAGTCAGTCTCCATCTTTTCTGCCATCATTCTGCACCATACCATCCCCACCTTGCAACTGGTCTACTCAAACAGCCTCATCACTGGTTTCCCACTCATGTGACTCTTAAGTCCCTATCCCATGATGTTTTCTATCATTACATCTGCTCATAGAAATTATGATAATTTTTATGTAAATATTTGTGTTTAAATTCTATATATTTACTTATTTATTGTCTATCCAAACACATAAGTGCTACTGAGGTGACTTCATATGTTTTAGTTCAGTAGCAGATATAAACATTTTGAATAGCGACTGATGTGGAGTAGAAGGCCAGTAAGTATTTTTTTAACCAGTGACTGACCTACTTAAAGACCAAAAAGATAGAGGTACAGTTACCCCCTCATGCACACACAACTACACACATTCCACTTCTAAGGGAAAAGTATTTATATATTTTGCATGTACACATTTATCAGTTGGGTATGCATCACTTTACATTTGAACCACTTCTAAGTGAAAAGTATTTGTATATTTTGCATGTACACATTTATCAGTTGAGTATGCATCACTTTACATTTGAACCACATCTATGGGAGAGGAAGTTTGCTCTGGGAAGAACAAGTTGATGCTGATTTTATCTTGATTTTTAAGAATTACAACTTGGTCAGTTTCTGTTGTTAGTGCTGATGATAGTGACCTTTTTGCTAGAAAATAAAACCAGCGATTTACTTACGTCATTCTTGTGACTCAAAAGATATCTTAACTGAACTGATTATTTACTTGATAATTTGTTGTCAAACATATATTTCATTTTATACAGGAGAGAACTGTCCAGTTATTTTTATGTGGATTTTAAATAGGAATTTAGAAACTCTTCCAAAGTAATACTGAAATAAGAATGTAGACTAACTGTATATAACCACCATTTTTGAGTGTGTAGCAATTGGAAGAAACTGCTGAAAACATGAGTTAGGGTTTAGGTGGAACCAACATGGTGAAATGGCCATAGGCTATGTCATGGAGCATCCATTTGAGAACAGTTTTGTAAAGTGATAGAGAAAGAGGCCAGACTGCAGGGCTTTGCAGGTAAGTTACCTGATAAGAAAAAATGTGAATTGGCAGTAAAAGGGAGAACAAAAATGGGATGGTAGACAGATGGAGAATCAAATACAGCAGGAAAGGAGGGGGAAACACTCTCAGTGTTTGCAGGCAGAAGAAAAGAAATGTAGCTAAAGTGGAAAAAAATAAATTTGGCAGTGAGGAAAACATAAGAACCACACCACTCAAAAGCTTAAGTACCTTCCCACGTTTTGCATAATAATTTGGATTTCAAAAAATGTTTTTACACAATTTGTATCTTATGACCCTCACAAAACTGGGTACATCTGACTAAACTGAGACTGGTGGTTCTATTCCTATTTCACAGATTAGGAAAAAGAAGCTCAGTTCCTGGGGTCATGCAGTGGGTAAGTAACATAAGGGAGAACAGAAGTGTTCTCATGCCTATGTTTTTATACTTTCCACTATACCATGTTGACAGTGTGGTGTTAATCTTTAAACAGAAGGAGATCAAAATCTTCTGTGAGAAAGAGAAGCATTTAAGGCATTGATCCAAAAAAAGTGGTCTATTTTCCCTCCCACCCACTTAAACTATTATCACATTTAATTGAATTTCAGTAAGCCAGAAGTTTGGAAGGAGATGACTCATGAAGAAGCGTGGGTAGCATTAATTTATTTTTTAAATTAACTGGTCATACACCATGTACAAGTGTCAGAGATACAGGTGAATAAAAATAGCCATAGTCCCAGCTTTGGTAAAGCTCATTCTTTAGTGGAGAGGATCAGCTTTTAATCAAGTAAGGAAATTAAATATTTGAGTACAAACTTAAATATGAGGCTGTGTCAGCACTACTATGAAAGAATGTTACATGGGGCCTCGTTGAGCCTACAAGGGGGGAAGATGTTTGCTTTATGAGAGGATGACAGTTGATCTAAACTCTAAAGGAGGAATAGGAGTG